TGAGGGGGGGAGGACGGGGGGGGGATGAAGGAAACCAGAAAAGGAAAAAGGGGCAGGGAAGGAAAAGGAAAGAAAGGGAAGAAAAGGGAGGAAAGGGGAGGGGGGGCAATGGGACTGCGGTGCAGCTCGGGGTAAAGCACATACTTGGCACACTTGGACCTTGAGGTCAATCCTTGGCACCAAAAAGGAAAAAGAATGAAGCAAAATTGCAATTTTACATTGTGTCACCACCTGAATGATGTGCGTCATAAATGCCAGGTGAGGAGAAGACGCCTCCATGTGGACAGAAACTGTTTGCTTATCAACAAATCTCTGCAGCCTAAGACAGTGCCAGGCATAGTTAGTCCCTCAACAGATATTTGCTGAATGCATGAAGGAATGAAGAAACAAGGGAAGATAGAACAATTGTTCAAACTCACTAAATCATGGTGGATTATAGAGCCATCATCTTCCAGAGGCTTCCTTCAATGCATTTGTCAGATCCTAACCGAGTGCCAACACTTACTTAGCTCGTCATTTGGTTCTCACAGGAAGCATACAGAGGCACTGATGATGAAGAAAGTAAGACAAAGGAGGTCAAATATTTGCTCTCAATGCCTCAGCATGTAGAGATTTGCACACGTCTACCTAATGGAAATCATCAAATTTTGTTTAGGTCACATTTTATTAAGCAACAATCTTAATTTAATGCCACCCTGTAAGTATAAAGTAATCTATCTGACCAGACAAAACAAACACAGGGCTGACAAGATGGCTCAGCGGATAAGGCCACTTGCTGCCAAGACTGCCAACCTGAGTTCGATCCTCAAAGCCCACATAATAGGAGAGGGCTGACTCCCACTACACTACACATATACACACATAAAGAAATCAATAAATGGAAAAGAAGTGAACACAAACAGCTTAGTGTTTAAGAAATCTCATTCTTAGCCCAAAGCTTTCTTCTGAGACACCATCAATAGTGATTGAATCATTATCAGCAAGAAAGCCCCCTTAGAATCAGTTCTGCTAAGGCTGGAAATGTGGTGCAGTTCAATAGCTGAACACTTGCCTAGCATTCACAAGGCCCTAGATTTAATACTCAGCGCTACAAAAAAAAAAAAAAAAAAAGCTAATCTCTTCCATAGTTAATATGTACTAGAGGAACACACTTTAAACAGTGCCAACTAAGTCTCTTTCATCACTTACCCTTTGGCACTTTTTCTCTGTGTGTGTGTGTGTGTGTGTGTGTGTGTGTGTGTGTGTGTGATGCGAAAGATAAAATCCAGGGCCTTGCAACCAGGGACGAGAACTTTTTTTTTTTTTTTTTTGAGACAGGGTCTCACTATGTAAGCCACACAGACCTCGAACTCATGATCCTCCAGCCTCTGCCAAGTGCTGAGTCACAGGTATACCATCATCCCTATCTTAAAATTCTTTAAACACTTAAACGATTAAAACAAAGGAACTACTTGGTATGCAAAAGTCCAAAGGAACAAAGGAAGCGAGCAGAGAGAAGGCCAGGGCTGTGTCCTTGGAACTGAACGTGAATGTGACCTACCCTTAATGTAATGCTGCTACCCAAGAATTCTCAACAGTGGGGCAGAATCACTCCAAGGGGACATTCGGACACAAGTAGTATTTCTGACTCAAGAGTATCTAATGATAAGCAGACTGTGCTATGACACAGCAGTGAAGAACTATTCCACCCAAAACACCAAGAGGACCCTTGTGGAATCCTGACCACTCTCACTTTACACAGATCAGATTCCCATCTGCAACATGCAATTTAACATGCAATCCAGAAAGCACTTGGAAATAGGCAAAGAGCTGAGCAGCCAACTGCTTGCTCAAGCTGGACACCCCAGCTCAGCCAGTTTATTAGTCTGACCAGTCCAGTCTTTACAAGGGTCCAATGCTTTTCTGAATATCTGCCCCTTTAAGTGGTATCTAGCTTGAAAACAAACATCCTGCTGGGTATGGTGGGACACGCCTTTAATCCCAGCACTTGGGAGGCAGAGGCTGGCGGATCTCTGTGAGTTCAAGGGCAGCCTGGTCTATACAGTGAGTTCTAGAACAGCTGGGGCTACAAGGAGACCCTCTGTCAAAAAGACAAAAAAAAAAAAAAAAAAAAAAAAAAAAAAAAAAAAAAGACCAAAATAAAGAAAATCCGGTGTTGGGGGGGGTGTTTTTATGTGTATGAGTATATTGCCTGCATGTGTGCAAGCGCACCCATGTTATGCAATGCCCGCAGAGGTCAAGAAGAAGGTGTAAGAGCCCCTGGAACTGGAGTTACGGACAGTTGTTTGCCATGTGGGTGCTGGGAATCAAACCCAGGTCCTCTGCAAGAGCAGTCAGTGCTCTTTAACCAACCCGAGTCGTCTCTCCAACCCCAGAAAATCCTGTTTTAAAATAAACAAATAAAATAAAAGTTGGGGCCTAGCAAGATGGTTCAACAGGGGAAAAGTACTTGCTGCCAAATCAGTCAACCTCAATTTCCAGGACCCACATATTGGAGGGAGAAAATCAACTCCAGCAAGTTGTCCTCTGACCTCCACACATGTGCCATGATAAACATACACACACAACACACACACACACACACACACACACACACACTCATGTACGCACATACAAT